CCATGCCGTACCAGTTTAATTCAGACTTAGAGGGGTTTCCTTTGCCAATCATCATAAAGTTAAGTCCATGTTTCCTACAAAATAGTAGCACTTCGTCACTTCGTCTAACATTCTTGTTCATTTAGTGGAAATCTTCATATTGGTGCTGTAGGTGTTCCTCATTATATAGGTTGATGACGATAGTACTGTACTTTTTTTATCTCTGTTTCTTCTACTTGGTGGCGTTCTATGATATCGCTATGTTTCCATGGTTAACAAATCGGTTCTTTCAATGATTTCTCAAGAAATGTAGTACTATGTCAGTTCATTTTTCTTATTTGGTAAAATAAATCAAATTGTCCAGGCTTTCTCGATTTTTTACATTGTAATATGTACGAATGTTAATTTAAATAGTAAATATTTAATTTCAACACAATCAATAAATGTACCCAATGCGTTTCATTGAATTGAAAACTAAATACTGTAACAGCAATTAAAATATACAGCTGATCAAAATGTAACAATTATGTTCTTCATAAGGATAACATGGGATCTTTAACAGCCACTTGGGCAGAGCCCAAGAGACTTTTTCAAAAATGTAAGGCCAGTTTGCAAATCTACGCGACACGCTCTTTCCAATGAGACACCATTGGATAAAATCGGTTAAGAAATGGCGGCGACAAAGTTTCATGTAGCGTATTAATTATATTGATTTTAAATCCATTTTGTGCTTATTTTTGAACCTATTTTAATTTATAAATACCTTCTTTTTTAAGCTCTACAAAACGGTTTAAAAATAAATTGCAAACTTTTTGTTTTAGGGGAAAAAATTGAAAACCCCCATTTTTACCCCATAAAACCCCCCGTAAACCCCTGTTCCCATGGTCCGATTATGCTGGTTCGCGAACTCGTTCGAATAAACGTAGGTTTACACGTTTTTACCAAATTTCATCAAAATGGGATCATTTTTGCTCGAGTTATCGCGCTAACGGATACATATATACAGGGTGATCAACTCAAAGAGGTCACCATTGGGATATTAAATAAGGGACATTCCTTTATTTTTTGTGGCAGTTCAAAATATGAGTTTATATTTTGAAAATGGCAGCCAACTTTGAAATTTATTATGGAACACCCTTTCATGTTTTCGGATAGAACATGCAATTTAAAAACTTTTTTTATTCTTGACATTTTTTCGATAAACCCACTCGTTTAGGAGTTACAGCCTATGGAAAAGAGACTTCTGGTGTACAATTTAAATCATGTAGCTCCTAAACAAGTAGGCTTATAGCGAGAATGCGAAGAGTAAATAAGTCTTAAAATTGCATCCACATTCCAAAAGACCACAAAATTAGTTAAAAAAATTAATTCCAAAATGGCGACAAACTTGAAAAGTGGAAAGCTGTGCATTTTATGGTCTTTATGGAATGTGGATGCAATTTTTTATTCTGTGTTCGCACATTAACAGGAACAATTAACAGGAAAAAGTTGGATCAACAATTAAAATTGTCAACTGATCAGCTGATTAGTTGACGTTCGAAGCATTCCAATTTTACTTCTTTTCTCTCAATCCTTGAACCTCATTGATCCGTTGCCTGTGTTGTTATGAGAAAAACCATGCTGTTGTGAAAGAAAGTAAAGAGCTGCGTTAAGTGAAACTTTTCAATTCTAAGAACTGAACTGAAATGGCTACTTTAAAAAACTGTCGTATTTAAAACGGTAGTAGGTAAAAACATTTTGGTGAATGTTCCATATAGGTAATACGCTATTACCATTTTAGCGAAAAAATCTCTCATGGCAAAAATAATACGATCCTGATGAAATTTGTACAAACGTGTCGTGTAAACCTACAACGAATGAGTCCGCGAACCAACACAATTGGAATACGCGAAAATGAGTTAATGAGGGTAATGAGAATAAGGTAAAGATTTTTACATGGACATAATGAGTGAATTTCCAAACAAAATTTAAAATGTTAACCAATTGTAAATAGCTTATGTATAGCATGCAGAAGGAATTTTGTATATATTTTATGTATTTCTGTAATTGACGTAACCAATGCATAACTTATGTAAATCTGGTTAAATAAATCACTTATGACTTTAGAGTAAAATACCCCCGCCGCAGCAAACCTGCATACTAAGCGAATTTCCATTTGCCTAACTGGATTTACACTAAAATGTCTCCTTTAAAATATCACGTAAACTATCGTACGTAACTCGTCCAAAATGTGTGTACCGGACTCGTATGGTAATCCCAACGACCACACTCGTCCGGTAAACACACTTTTTTCAGGACTAGTAACGTAATATACTATTACCGTGTACTTAGTCAGCTGTTGAAATAAACAGCTAATTTCAGCGGCCTATTTTATAAAAAAAATCTAATTTATGTTCTGTCCTAAATAAATTGTGTCGCACGAAAATCCCGTACTCGGCTACGCCTTCGATAAAACACCTTACCGCTTACCGGGCTAGTAACGTAATACAGTAGGCATATACTATTATTTTCTTTATACCTACTGCATTTAGATAAGGTGTTTAAGTTTCAAGCAGCCATTACAGTTTACAGGTGGTTCTGATGTGTGTTTCTAAATACTGCAACAACTCTATGGTTTTTTTTAAATACCCCCCCGCAGCAAACCTGCAGACTAAACGAATTTCCATTTGCTTGATTGGATTTACACTATCTCCTTAAAATATCACAAAATTATTCCCTATTTCAATATTGCATTAGTTTAACAAGTACTTAGGTATGTTGTAACAGGGAGGGTTTTAAAGTTTTTTTTTTCACATGTAGGTAGTTTAGTATGAAATAAATGCATTTTCAAATTTTGATCAAAAGATGTTCATAAACAAGCTAACTACAACAGTTTACTTATTCTCCATAAGAATAACATAGGGATTTAAAATTTAAAACTGTTTGAGTTTTCTCCGTAACCATTAGGCAACTGTTTGCGCATAATAATGCTTCAATATACTAAATAATTTGTTTTTAAGCTCTACAAAATAGTTTGGAAAGAAATTATTGCAAAATTTTATGTTGTCATTGCTTTTAATGGATCGCCATATTGGCAAAGGAAAGGTTAACAAAAGAATCAAAGCATCTGCAGAGGCAAATTAACGCAGTTTTTTCATTTCCTCATTTCCGGTGTAAGTTGCTGATACAAATGTACTACAACTCATTTAATATTTCAAAGTGTAACAATGAACAACGTAAAATTGTTATTTGGGTTAATCTGTTTTAACACTTAAGCTAGCAAGTTAAATGAAAAAACGATGTACTATATCATTATAATTTCAAATAAATGTATGATTGAAAAAACTTGGATGGATACCATAATCATCCTCTATCAAAGTTTGGCCTAGGTAGCACGTTTTAACTACCTTCTTACACGAAAAAAAAAACAGTCAATAAATCATAATACAAGTGCGACAAATCTATATATTAATTTGAAACTGTTTTTCTTTGTGACAGCTATTTTGAGAGAACGGCTGGGCGTAGAAAATCGGTAGGGGTGTCTAAAGAAAGGTCTTGGTCTGTAGATGAGCCATCAAAAGAGAAACGGGGTGAATTCCCTTGGGGCTCTGCCCCAGTGGCCTTAAATTTCCCATCCCATGTTATTCTTATGGAGGAAAAACGGGGTTTTTGTCGCAGCTAATTTGAGAGAACGGCTGGGCGTAGAAATTTGGTAGGGGTCTCTAAAGAAAGGTCTTGGTCTGTAGATGAGCCATCAAAAGAGAAACAAGGTAAATTCCCTTGGGGCTCTGCCCCAGAGGCCTTTAAAGTTCCCTCTTCAGATTTGTTTACATTACGACCATATGCATTTTTAATGCAACAGCTGTTAATATTTAAATTGTGATTTATTGAATTTGTCAAAATAAAGTACAGCATTTGTAATGGATTTTTCTGATTTTAAAATTGATTTTCTTCTGCATCGTGTCATGTTTTGCAATATAATGTTCTATTACCAAATCAGTGGAAAATCCTAATATCACTTATGGAGTTAACTTATATCTATTGTATGGGTTGGTTTCTGCCTTTTTTACCACTTCTTGGAGGTTGTACGTACCTAGGTGATATTCTTTGGCAATTGCATCTGTAGACGAAACTTGGATTGGTGTAATTATTACAACGGAAAAGAGCGAGAAATCCTGGACAATTTGATATAGGCTAAAAATAAAACTGAATTAACACTGTGCTACATTTCTTGAGCAATCATTGATATAGGTAACCGATTTGCAAACAATGGAAACATAGAAAAAGTCATAGAACACATCCAGGTAAAAGAAATAGAAATATTTTTTTTACACTAAAAACATTAAAAAAACAAGATCAGCTTTTTGAAAAAAGATAAGATATTTACAAAAGATTTTGATATCTAACTGTTGTGTAGATCGTAAGTATTTCCATAATCTTTGAGTCGCCTGCAATGCTCCGCAAATGCTCGAATTCGAGCAACAGGTACACTAGTGTCAAATTATTTTAAGCCTTCAAACGGCAGAACACATATTATATACACAAGATAGTTGAGATAGCATTGACAAATTTGAAGGAGACTGCAAGCGCCGTGAATAGAAGTCGTTCGGAGTTTAAAAAAGAACGACTCTCATTATACTCAACCGATCTGTTCAGCAAGAGCTGTTCACCTTCAATTTGAATCTCCCGCTCTTTGTCGATCTGTTTTGCTTGTCGACATTTTGCGTGTCGATAAAGTGGGAAAATTTACACAACCGTCCCACATAACAGACATCCCACATAACCGACATCCCACTTTACAGACATCCCATATTACCGACACTGTCGACATTTTGAGTTGTCGACAAAGTGGGACTATTTCAGTGTCGATCTTTTGGGATGTCGATAAACTGGGACCCCACGATCGAGCAGTGGTGGGTGGTGGCGGTCTGTCGGCAAGGGTTAATTTGTTGACGTCTGCATCTGCCTGCAGTGTCCGTATGATATCTTTTTCTCTTTTTGCTGAGTCGGTGAATTTGTTATTGTTTAGTCTAGTCCTAGTCTTGCTGGATCTTATCATTCTACGTTCTGTGTGTGTACTGTAACTTATTTATTCATTCACAAGACTAGAGACATTATCGCTCAAAGAAGAAAAGCCATTAGCATAAAGAATTGTCTCACAATGACTACAAGCTTTTAGGAGGCCTCGTTGTGAAAAGGGGTAAGGTTATATAAAAACAATGCTATTATATAACTAAACAATTCGTCTACAAAATAAAATAGATAGGCTACTTTAGATGTATTTTACCTATGAAATAAGTTAAATCACCAAATTTATTAAATCTCTTCCTGAAAAACGGCCACGGAATATTGGCAGTCACTTCAATTTGAATTGTAAAAACGCCTAGTCAGGTACCGGTACTTAAGTTAACTAGTCATCAGTGATTTTTTTTATGTGCTAGGCCGGTGGCACTTTAGTTGACGTCCTAATTTACTATTATACATTAACTACCAGCTGATTATAAAATTACAGTTCTAAACTAAACCTAACCTTAACCAAACTGCAGTATGTGTAGTGATGTTGCTATACCACTGTCTTTCCGATATTTGGTATCGATACGGTATTGTAAAAAAGTATCGATACCAGCTTGGAATCGGAACTTAAGTATCAATAATATCGTATCCATTCGATACCAGTGACGTCATATTCTGATTCACTGATCTTTGATTAAAACTCGCTCCAGTAAGTTTATAGTATAGCCAATAGGATTCGAGGGTACACTTCCATATCTATTGGCACAAACAACCGAATGAGTAATATTGATTATGCAATTGTTTAATTTGACATATCGTTTGGTTAGTTAGGTTAGGTTTTAACCTTACCTACCTAACTAACCAAAACGATATATCGAATTATCGATTTATGGATCGATATTAAACTTACTCATTCGGTTGTTTGTGCCAACAGATATGGAAGTGTAAGTTACCCGGATTCGAATTCGAGCTGCTAAGAACTACCTAAATATGTAAAAAGTTGATAAAATTGACCAAACACAGACAACCTTTGTTTTCAATGATACCGGTCCATCAGCCTAAATTGAAAAAAAAGATTTAGTTAAATAACTTTGCGTGCCATCTTTATTAGTATAACTTATTTGATGTTAAATAGTCAATGGTTTCATTTTATTTGCTTAACACAAAGTTGCTAACATTGAGTTGTAGCCTACTTAATAAAAATAACTCTTTGCAAAACCCTTAAGTACTTATACGTTATGTAACTTACAGTTCTAAGTTATGAATGAATAGTGAATCATAATTTACTCAAACCACATATCAGACAAGCTAGATTAAAAACTAAATATTTGGGTAAAAGTCTGTTTGTTTTTTGGGTCACTGAATTGCTCCAGCCTTCCAGAAGGCACAAGCCTGGCAATTTTACTCTGATTTGTCAGAAATTGCCTTCCGATACTTATGATATGATACTGGCTTCTTGGTATCAGCACCAAAAAAATATCGGAACAACCGATATCGATACAATAACAGTAGTTCGCAATAAAAGTATCGATACCTACTGGTATCGATCGTATCGCAACATCCCCAAGTATGTGAGTAAATGTAGGACGTAAACTTAGAAAACTAAATGGATGGCCATATTGAAGAACATCCAAGCTGTTCAATCCCTTCTGCCCCGTTGTTGAGCCGAGATAGGACATAAGACGTCTAAGAGTGCTGTTGTGATTGGAACTAGGCTACTTGGAAAAGCATAAATTCACTTCACATAACATTTCTCCCACAGCAGGCTCTTGTGTAGGCTAATAAATTTCTTTTGTCACGCTTGTTTATTAAGGATCAATTTTATTAGTTTTAGCGAATTTCCCTTTAGCGAAGTAGATAACCGTAGGTCTCATGGTAAGACCTAGGCCCGGGACTGATTTACTTTTTCATTTTGATGTCCCCAGAGGCCAAAAACACCCTTCGTTAAAATTTTTATATAGGTAGGCTAGGTATATATTTATAAGATATCTATATAGAGATGTATATATGTCCGTCTGGACGATAACTTGAGTAATTTTTGTCCGATTTTAATAAAATTTGGTTTAAAAGTGTAAGGCGGGATAAACTTGAATGAGTTTAACGAGCAACGGAGTTTAACAGGGGTTTTTATGGGGTAAAAATGGGGTTTTCTAATTTTTTACCCTTAAAACCATTTACCATTTACCATTTACCATCGATGTCTTCTCCGCCGTCCTTGTAGACAGGGGAATCGTCAAATTCTTGTTAATATGTGTATGCGTGTGTGTGAGTTTGAGCATTGCTCTCCTATTTATTAATTAATTAAACACAAAATTTATTAATTTTTCTCCAGACCTTTTTGAAGAGCTTAAAAAAACAAATAATTTAGTATATCAAAGTGTTTTTATACGGTGATTGGTTACGGAGAAAATTCAAAAAAATTGTTAATTCAAAATTCCAATGATAAGTTATTTTTATGGAGAATATTGTAAAATGTTGTAGTTGGCTTGTTTATGGATATATTTTTATCAAACTTGGCAGATTTATTTATTTCATACTAAGCTATTGATATTTTGGTATTTAATAAAAAACACACTTTATTAGTTTCCCTGTTGCAGCTATAAGCTAGCTACCTACTCTTTAAATATAGGCCTAAATGTTAATTTAAAAGATCAATAATTGAAAATCAATCCAGGCAAATTGAAATTCGCTTAGTCGGCAGGTTTGCTGCAGCGGGGTATTTTGTTTTACATTTTTCAACTGAATGTATTTTGAAAGGTAAACTATTGCCAAATAAACTTAATGAAGATAAAAGTAGGCCTAGTAACCTGATATACCTAATTTTTGTATGATTAGTCAATGAATAGTCATCAATTCCATCTTAAAACAATTAAATATTGTGATTGATTTAGCCAAAAAACAAATAGGCCTACACACTAATTTTGGCTTACATTGTAGTTGAACAAGAGACAACATGGCATGCTACTTATCGAGGTGCTTTGTTACATAGTACAAATTTACTACCTTAACAATTCAAATTAGAGTTGTCGTCTATGTTTCATGAGAAAACTGTGAATTTTATGTCTCTGCTGATAAGTAATGTTTTGATTTAGGCCTATTGAAATTATGGTTTTATCGTCAAATGTCAGTTAGGCCTAAGTAAGTAAATCATCATAAGATATTTAGGCTTTTTATCAAATCGATATTCTATTTTCTATGGCTATGCCACAGTCTCACTTTTCAGGCTTAATGATTAGGCCCAGGCATTTTACCCAATTTACCCAACCAAAATAGCCTATGGGCCGTAGTCCTACATGTAGGCCTACATTAGTGAAAACAATGCTTTTAAATATCCAACCTAAAAATAAACTCCTTAACTTAAGTGAACAAACACTACATAACTTAGGCTAGCATTTGAGTTACTTACCATAGACAACCAATAACTTTTAACAAGAACTAACACACTAGGCCTATATTAATATCAATGATCTAACTATCATGATTATAATGACTAAGTTAGTTGTTGTTATCATGTACGGTACCTATAGCACTAGAATAAACGCTATATAAGGTCAATAATACTAGACTGTCGGAGTCTGGAACTTATTTTTAAGCCCAAATTACAAAATTTACGTTTGTCTACTAGTTTTCTTGGAAAAATGGCAGGAAGTATTCAGCTTCAAGACTTCCCTCCTGGTCCTCTAGATGAGTATCGGAAAAAAGCCTCGTTTGACTGGAAGAAACTAAAAATTCTTATTGAGGATGAAGTCATTTTGAAAACTAAGGTAGGTACGTAGTTTTAGAGGTTATTACAGAAGTAACAGTAAAATAAAAAAAGGTAGCCTAAAATATGTTAATAGGAGTTATACATAAAAAAAACTATAACAGAAACTTACTTGCAGTCATAACGTTAACTTGTGCCTTAGTCAAAGTCTAAAGTCCATTCACCGGAATCTTTGCGGAATTAAGTTATTATCATGACACATTTTTGTCACTACAGTAAGGCCTAATAAGTTAATAAGTATTTTAACTTACTGTCCATTATTGTTCTGTAAAACATTTGAATATCAATACACTACTATGTAGTAGTAGACACGCTTTTGTCTCTTATTTAAGTTGTAAGTTCCCCATTTTATTTAAAATGACAAAATAACTTGATTCAGTTGGGCCACCAACAAAGAATGTTGTTGTAACCGTTTAGACATTAACAACTGAAAAGGCTACTCCTTATGAGCTCTAGCATCTTTTATGTCCTTATCATCGCATGAAAATATTAAATTGAAAAAAAAAATTGAATAGAAGCTTGCTTTGCGATAGCCGGTAGGCTCATTTTTATAACAATGCCTACCTAGTTATGAAAAAAAGTACCACTGATAGGATACCTAACTAATGATACTATAGCTCAACAGTCTTTCTTACAAATTTGATTTAGTTGGAGGTGTGGAAACGGATGGAAGAAGACCCACTCTTCCACCATTGGACTGAGACTCCGCCATTAGAGGAACAAAGGAAGATTGAATCTTTGCGGATGTTGAGAATCAAACAGTGGAATGTTTTGACGCTGGAGGATGTGGTGGAAGATATAAGGAAGGTAAAATGTTGCATACAATTTAAATACGTCTATTGTCAATCTATGTTCGCATACAATAAATCATACTTCATACTTTTTATTAGCGAATTTCCTTATAGGGAAGTAGCTATTACCGTAGGTGGAATGATAAAAATTGTGATGATAATTGTTGGGCACAGTAAGACCTAGGCCCGGAACCGATTTAGTTTTTCATTTTGATGTCCCCAGAGGCGAAAAACATCAAGTGTTTTGTTCAAATTTATATATATGCCCGTGAACGCGATAACTTGTGCAATTTTTGTTCAATTTTGATGAGATTTTGTTTAAAGGTGAAAGGCGGGATAAACTTGAATGAATTTGCATACCAGCATGATTGGACCATGGGAACGGGGTTTTATGGGTTAAAAATGGGTTTTCTCATTTTTGACCCTCATAACACAATTTTTTTTAATTTTTCAAGAGCTAAAAATAACAAATAATTTATATACTAAATTATTTGTTTTTTTTTAGCTCTCTCAAAGTGTTTTTGTTTGGTTATTGGTAATGGAGAAAATTCCAAAAATTGTAAATTTAAAATTTCCATGTTATTCTTATGGAGAATATTGTAAAATGTTGTAGTTAGCTTGTTTATGGATATATTTTGAATGTTATTTATCAACTTATAACTAAACCAATCATTATCTATTAATTGTCCATCAATGATTACAGTAAGTATTGATTGTTTTTTTTTTTTTTTTCTTAAGATAGCTAGGCTACATTACTGTTTATTTACACATATCCCTACTTATTGTGAACCCAAAAAAAAACTGATTTTGTCACTTCCAGGTGAGAAAGATATAAAAAATCGTCACCAACCATATATGTTATCCGATAAATATCTTGTTTGCCAAGCTACAAGTTTTTTTTTTTACTTTTTCAGTTTGTCGCAGTGACAACAGTGCTGTTCAGCTATTCCCCCTCGTTGGCCCTTAAGGTGCAACTGACATTCAACATGTTCCAAAACTCGATGCTGGGGATGGGCTCAGAGCGGCATTTCAAGTTCTTTGAGGCATGCGAGAAGAGTGAGCCGGAGGTACAGAAATACTTTGCACAACATCGTGTTATGATTACAAGAGATTATTCAACTTTCTATAGTCATTTATCCTAAATAGCTGTTGAACTTTTGTATTACAGTTGAACCTCGTTTGTACGAACCTCGATAAAACGAATTCCTCGATAAGACGAATTTTTTTTAATCCCCTTGACACTTTCATATAGGTCAATGCTAAAAACACCTCTATACAACGTAGTAATTAAGTTTAAAACCTCCATAAGACGAATTTTTGTGTGACATGGGCTAGTACTGATTAACCTCTATACAACGAATATTCTTAGCACAAAACCTCTACAAGACGAACGTGACCTCTATAAGACGAATTTGTCATAATCTTAACCTCCATAGTACGTAGTTTTCAAAACAAACAGAAGCTTGTCTCAACACGAAACCCCCACCCATCCCTCCTCCTTCCTCAGTCATTGTTTGGAGAAACCTTGGAGCGAGGAGAAACCTCTATAAGAAGAATAACAGCAGCATTAAACCTCGATAAAACGACCCTCTTTATTAAGAATACCTCTATAGTACGAATTTTTCCCGTACCCCTTGAAATTCGTCTTATAGAGGTTCAACTGTACTTCCACATAGTCTAATGGGTTTTAGGAAACATTCTTAACTTCTAATAGATCATTATACTATTTTTTTATTGTTTCACCTTTACATCCCAAGATGCTAGGTGGTAGCCAGGAACTGTTTTACACATTATTTCTGGCTAGTCCTAGAGGGTCGTAGCATTATCACATGGATAAAATCCATCGGTAATTGGTGGGATTTGAACCTGGGACCTCAGGTACTGAAGCCCTGAGCTCTACCTCTAGACCTGCTTGCTCCCCAATGCCATATATAGTAGAAGTCTACTGTATGTTAACTCTCCTATTCAATAGTGTTGAGTAGCAGCCTTTGTTTTCTTTTTGTAAATTTTATTTATTTTAACACAAAAACATGCTGGGTGAAGCATATAATGTATTTTCCACCTTTACCCTTCCACTAAACACAATATTGATAATGATATATTTTTTCTACTAAATAGTCTAGTCAAACTCTTGGTGCGAACAATTTTAACTTTTTTATTGTAAATTTAATTTAATGTGAAAGGAGTCATAACTTTTTTTGTACAGTAATTAATTGATCTTATTTCTGTGTGTTGGAGAAGGATATATGATAATACTATTTGATTTGACTGTAGCTGTTACTATTGTGCTAGGTTACCGGATGTTTTGCTCTGACGGAGTTCTCCCATGGGACAGACACCAAGTCAATGCGGACAGAAGCTCGTTATGATCCTAAGACACAAACGTTCGTTCTAAACACTCCAGACTTTGAGGCAGCCAAGTGTTGGGTAGGCAGTCTTGGTAAGTGAACTCTAATTTAAACACTTCTTTTGGTAATCGGAGGATATTTTTGAAACATTTTGAGTAATAAATCATGCTGAAAATCATGTCCATTGGTGCTAGATTACTATGGTTAGCCATGCTTGATCAGGAGAACACGGATTTGGGTTTGAATCCTGTCTATATGAGATCCTGGAAAATTTTCCAAGGCCGCATTTATTTAAAGCCAGTTGGCGAGCAGGTTAGCGGCCTCAGTTAACTTAAATACACTAGAGTCAGGTAACCTGTCTACTGGTCTCGTGTAAACGTAGCTTAAAAGATTGTGGAATCTAGATAGCCCATGAGCAGTTTGCATAGTTACAATGGCAGAGCTTGGAAGGAGAAACCTGCCTAAAAAGTTACAGTAGACTCCCTCTAGTTCGGCCACCTCGGAACCGGACCACTGGCCGGACTAACCGGATGTAGTGCATTTTAAGCATTTTAATCGTGATATGTTAAGTCATTAACCTTGGTGCAGTAATAAAAACTGTATCGTTTGAAATAACGCTTACTCAAGCAAAACAAAAATTACACAACACCGTGCATACAGCAATAAATCACGTAAAGAACAGAATAGAAAGTCTAGTACTGCAAGCTACTGCTACCTTAGTCAGCATAGGCTACTACTAAATGTTGTTTCAGAACATAAGAATGTTGATAAAAACATTAAATAACTCATAAACAGCATAAAATTATAATACTTAATCTTAAAGATAATAAGTAAAGTCGTAAAGTATGATAAAGATAACAATGGATGACGTTAAATACCGCTTATTCTTTGTTCTTTGTTTGTCTATTCTTTCTTTGGTTTCTCTTCATCCACACATGCAACAAGTTGCCACGGACTAATCACCCAATCACAAACTGTTGTGAAATAGCAAGTGCACAGCAGACATCAGTTATGTAAAGAGCAGATGATTGTCAGTGCAAGCGGATAGCTTGACCTTGAAGCTAACGACAATTTCTTTGTTTTGCTTTAATTTCTTTGTCAAATAAACTGTGGTGTTTCAAAAACAATAATGGGGGAACCTACTAGATAAAATGTTCTGAAATATTTAATTTTACACTGCATTTCAACATATTAGACTGAAGAAAAACTATTTATTAAAGGTTTTTGGTATTTTTGAGGTTATGTAACATAGTTTTACATATGCAACAATTCACCCATAGAAGCACCCGTCAACTAAATTGACATGAATTGTTTACTCATGGCCGGAAACTAAAGATTTAAGTCGAATCCTGTCAAAATTCATTCGCCCGCGACGATATGACTTGTCCTCCTGAGACCGGGCCGAACCATCCGGCGGCCGATCCAACCGAAGCCGAACTAGAGGGAGTCTACAGTATTTCACTTTTAACAATTTCAATTTCATAAAAAAAAACTAGGATAGCTCAGAATCCTTACTGTGTGTGTGAGCCCTGAAAACAGATTTTTAGTCATTTTGATTTTTGTACTCATAAAATAGAGTTAATTAAAAAAGTAAATTACATAAGTTTAAATGAAAGTTCATTAATGTTTAACATAACAAGATAGGCTAAAGACAGGGTTAAATCTTTGACTATTGATATAACTTGACATTCAATCCCCATGTTAGTCACCAGTTTTTTTAACCAAAATCCTCGTAGTTGTGAGCCACCAACAGATTGCTGATATAAATTTACTGATCCCTGTCAAATATACAAACTTTTTACCAAGTCAAACTCATGGAATGATTTATTGTAAGCTATAGCAACTCTGTTACGACCCATGTCAGCAACAAAAAAGGCATAAAATAGAATTTTAGACACTAGCACATTCGTTTTTAATAAAAAGTTGGGGACAGCTTGTCCACATAGATAGGATGTATACAATAGGTAATGGTTAAAGCCACTTACTGGAAAAAACTTCATAATTGTTGTGTTAAGTGTGTTATCTCTCTGCAGATTGATGACTCATGTTAAACACTGAAGGTACTATCTCACCTGATACAACAACAATCATGTAATGCCACTGATAAGCAAGGTTAAATGTAAACCTCTAAAGATTATAAGTATTTAACTTGTTTTTACTGCATTCTGATTATTATTTTTGTCTGCTATACTAAAAAAAATATTATATTCAGTATTTATATTTAATATAAATTTGTTTTAATTTCTCAACAAATGATCAGAAAAAGCTATGTAGGAAAATTAATTTAAAAGTTAATGATAAAATATTCATTAGTTTTCTAATAAAATTGTTCATTACAATCAAGATATTCGGGACCTAAAATAGTAGGCCTATTTATCTCAATTTTCTACTTTCATTTACTCCCATATAAGGGAATTCACTCCCATTGAGTCTCTGTCCAAGACTGTACTAAATGTGATAACTCGACTAAAACATAACTCCATGTATCACAAACAATTTTTGGATCAGGTTTAATTATTGCTCTATAGTCTGTATCGAGCAACAATAAATCTGTTAGCTGTATGTGGTATTCAGCGCCCGATTGTTCTCTGTGCGTTTGTCTCAACCATCTAGTAAATTGGCTAAGTATACCTTCAATCGAGACAAATCTGAGAACTTGATGTAGGTACAAGAATAAATATGGGGATTTTCAAAATTCCTATCTATAATTTCCAGGTTATGATCCAAAACCTTTTTTCTTGTTTGACTTCCTACTAATTTTCCTTGTTAACATTTATTGAAATAACGATTCAAATTTAATTTCCTATGGTGAATTATGTCATCAGCTTATTACACTCACTACCAAGACAAAAAACTAATTAAGTGATGCCATACAAATTACAAACCTATCCACTATATCTTTTCACAGGAAAAACTGCAACTTATGCAATTGTTTATGCCCGGCTGATCACTCCTGATGGAAATGATCACGGGCTGCACGCGTTTGTTACTCCGATCAGAAACCCACGCACTCTGAGGCCCTACCCAGGCGTGCTGGCGGGGGATATGGGGGAGAAGGCGGGGCTCAACGGGGTTGACAACGGGTAAGTGACGGTGGGTATTGATTCTTGGTCAATGCTACTATATCAATAAGATAGGGCCTTTTGACTAAGGTGATTGTCAATGTAAATATGTTTGATTTATTTAGAAAAGAAACATATCTAGGACTAAACGTTACTACTAAATCAGTACTTTCAGGATAGTTTGTATTTGGCTATACAATTATTTGACATTGTCAAAGTATTCAGTTTAATAGGTTTACTGCATTTAAATTATTACCTAAGCAGCAAACCTGTAACCTTTGTGATTTTTTAGGTTCGTGATGTTCAACCATTACCACATTCCACATGAGAGTTTGTTGAACCGAGGGGGTGACGTGACAGCAGACGGAAAATATGTCAGCCCGTATAAGGACTCCAACAAAAGATTCGGTAGGTTATTCATAGTTGATTGGTAATAAAGAAAATAAGTATGTTAACTAATTGATACAATTTGTGGGAGGTAAAAACATTGACTTTGAATATTGTAAGTACAGTAGGACACCAATTATCCTATTTAATTATAACTGTACCACATTAGCATAGGCAAATATTTTGATTGCCAGATATTTACTGAAATTCAGGGTATGTTGGCCTAAAATACTACTAAAATTAATACATGGAATGGACAGAGAGAGTAAATAGAATAAATACATTTTAAAAGCAGAAAATCTTTTAGGCAATAATAAAATTAGATTTGTTGATGTTAGCCTCCGGATTACGTTGAATATATAAATTGGGTTAAATACCTGCTTCTATGTAATCCAATAGTCGCGATTAATGTCACGCAACTAGTTTCAACTTCATGAAGAAGTACTCCTCAAGTGTGCAGTGGATGTCAAAATAATCACTTCATCATAAGGTCGTCGATACACATTATGGTACACTCACAAACAAACACGCACACCAACACGGACATAGCTACATAAAAAGGTACATTTACAAACAACCAGAATAAGACAAATTAATGGTAACTTAAGGATGATGCATCACGATCGGATGAATGTGGCGTCTAGACTGTGAGTCTTTTTATGTAACTATGTCCGTGTTCGTTTTTGTGAGCGTGTTTGTGTGTGAATGTACCATAATGTGTATCGACGACCTTCTGATGAAGTGGTTATTTTGACATCCACTGGACGCCTGAGGATGACTTCTTCATGAAGTAGAAACTAGTTACATGACATTAATTGACAATATTTAAATTTAGATGAAATTAGTATTATTTTTTTAAAGTGAATATTGTTCTTGATTGCTTTATTCTGTTGTAGGTGCCGCTCTCGGAATGCTGTCCCAAGGAAGGGTTAGTATTGTGTGCATTTGTGTGGCATACCTCAGCAAAGCCGTGCCCATTGCCATACGATACTCGGCTGTCCGTAAACAGTTTGGAGCAAAGAATCAGGAACTTCCAATCATAGAATATCAGTTGCAGGTGAGTTTTCAATTTATAACTTTAAAGTTGTTGTCTGTTTGAGAAGTAAAAGTTTGTGTAATCAAATGACAGAACATGCCGCTGTGAATATATATTTTTATTTTACTCTTTTTAATAGGTACCCTTTTTAGTTGTGTTAAACTGAAATGGCAACTTACTTTCTATTGACTATTGAATACTGAACCAGAAATACCATCTGAAAGGACCAGCTGTCGCCATTTTTTTTTTAAAGAACTTAGTTCTCTAAGTCAGTCACACATTGCATTAGTTTCTAAGATTATATTGTTTAAGTTATTTTTTGTTGCTGAGATAGTTGATGTGACATAACAGATACTATAGCTTACAATTAGTCGTTCTATCAGTTTGACTTGGAAAGTATGAATATTCTTGACTAACATTAACTTGATAAACAACAGACATGCCAATATGTAAATTTAAATAATCTACAAATGCTAGAAGTATATTTCAAACTCCTTTGCTGGTTATTTATTTATTTCATATATTATTTCATCCATGCTTCTCCTTCCTTTTCCCTTCTTCTAATCCCAGCAAATATCGTCCTGACATTTATATTCTGTTTGAGCAGATTTTGCAGTTGTAACTACTCTCTTGACGTTTTCTTTTTCTTCTGCCCTATCTGAAAATAGACATAGGTTACAGCCAGCAGCAGTAGCATTGATTTTAAACAGTGCAATTGGACTTATCCTAGATTGTAAAATCTAAAGCTTGTTTTGATACAAGTTTCTTGTTTGTGGCAATTTAGTGTACTGATTTTAGGTTAGATTTTAATCAACGAAACTCTCGATGCATTAATCGGATTATTTATGTATAATCAATGGTAATAGCCTCTAAGCTATTTTCATCACAGGCATAATGGCAGTTTTCATTCATTATCGTTTCAGTACCGTTTTATTGTATTGTAGCTGTAGGCTGCAAATTTTAAAGTTTAATAACACCAAAGTTTATAGTTTTTTTTTTTTTTTTTTTACTCTTCTAATACATTTAGCAAACATATTGTTTATTTACAATGTAAACTTAACTACCTTCAATCCCTCATACCAAAATTAAATTTTTTTGTCTGTTAGGAAAGAGTTGGTAAAATGTCTACCTATAGTAAAATTTTATCTACAACCATCTTTAAGGAGTTTCTCTTACCTGATTGATCTGCAGTTGAGAAATCGTAATTTTTCTCTATGTTGTTCTTGAAGTCGTCCACTGAGTGGTCTAAATAGTCTAACGTTAAAGACACGGTGAAAGTTGTCCAGATGATGAATCCCATGAACAACACGGATCCAAATCCAATCATTGTGATTGCCAACAAAAATGGAAGGACTGAAATAAAACATGTCATTAATAACATTGTTTGGCGGAATTTCAAAATACCATTCTGATATTTACGTAACAATCCGTTCACACTTTTGTTTTTGTAAAAAATATATACCGTAATGCTTGTAAATAATAATAGTGTTTAGACCTAAATCTTTTGTGTGGAGGTTGAAACATTTTCATGAATACCCCTAGCTACCCTAGCTAATTATATACCTTTAATTCATACAACAAGTGTACACACACAAAACAAACACAACACAACACCAACACAACACAGCACAACACAGTGTAAGGACAAAAGTGTAAATGCCGGTAATAAAAATTTACTATGATGTTAAATGTTTTTAGTGTTACCAACTCAATTCAGAACTGATTCTGTTTTTTCTCAAAATTCCCCCAAAAATACTAAAAAACTAACTACAATTTTGGGATAAGTTGATGCTATATTTACAGCCATCTGTATTTTTTTTAATAAATGACATATTTTTTCCATGAATCTTGAGAACTCAGAAACTCTTGAAGTAATTATAACAAGTAATCCAAAAGCAATATATTCAATCAAATTATCTTTTTAATCCAACTTACATGAGACAAAAGTAATTTATAGGTCGGCCGCTTAGAAAACGACCTGCGCGCTAATGCTAAACCAATGCTGGAGGAGGTCGTTTTCTAAGCGGCCGACCTCTAGTGAGAGATTAAACATTTGTAGTATTGTATTTTTACTCACCCTCTAACCTACTTGTTCACTCTATTGAAGTTGAAAAGTATTTGGGATTTTTACTCATGTAGAAATCAGTTTTTTTGATAAGGGTCTTGTCACGGTTATCCATCTGAAATTCAATGAGTATATTCATTTGTAGATATAAAAGAAAGAAGTTGTAAATAGCTTCATGTAATATCAATCTCTATTGTTGTGTAGATTTTTCTATCACGTTATAAACCATACAAAGGAAACAAATGGATCAATATAATTTTGACTTGTAAAGAACTTGTTTTTAGTACCTAAACATCCACAAACAATAGAATAAACATAGATACGGAAGATAATAACATACCCACAACATTTTTAAAACGCCACACTTAATTTCAACCAGCATTGCAGAAAGTCATAAAGGCAATAAACTCAATGATGTTTTTAAACATCATCAGATTTCGATGAAATATCGGGCAAACTATTAAAATTTACAAAAATAATCTATGCCAACCTTTCAACATCATGATTGATAATTCCTTTGAACCAATTTCCCTTAAAGCCATTTGGGCATCTTTCCATCCTTCCTTAAACTTTAAGAAGTTTTTTTTTTCTTATTTTGGTAGGATCTTGTTCTTGTACATGGTTTTTACATTTTTCATAACTTTCTATTGTGTTTCTATCAGATTTTGTCTTCCTCCGGTCATTTATTATTTGCCGTAGAAATTTAGATTTGTTATCAGCTTTGCCTATATAAAGTTAGATTTTGTCTTACAACATTATCAATCGCAGATCATAGTTTTTTTCTGACTTACAGTAGACTCCCTCTTATCTGGACACACTTTAACCGGACATCGGTTTAACTGGACTGCACTCGGCGGAAATGGCGTCTCTTTAACAGGACAATTTTTATCAGCACATCGGTTTAACCGGACCAGATCGGCAAGAAGTGGGCGGTACTGACAAGACTGTTCTCGTGGGAAAGAGACCAGTGATCACGTGTCTAAATAAAATCCTCTCCTAAATTTAAGTGAAATATGTATACATTACCTGTATGCATAAACGGTCCGTTTCAACGAGTTTTGGGGGACGTCAGTTTAACCGGAAAACCCGTTATCCGGACTGGCCGTCCGGTAAGAGGGAGTCTACTGCATGTTTTAGCTTTGTCTTTAAGTTTACTAGATGTGCAACAAATAATGTGTTCAATTAAATAAATTTCCTCGTTTTACAGCAATGGAGGTTGCTACCATACTTGGCCGCTACTTTTGCTATCAAGAATTTCAGCGACCAACTATGTCGCAAGTTTGGAGAGTTTCAACTTCAGATAATGACTGGGCAAAACCAAGAAGAGGCAGTAAGTATAACAGAGGCTACTGTTTATTTGGTTGAATGGTGATTCAAAACTACGAATCATTTATTGATAATTAGCTGTTACCCATCGGCTTCGCCCGAAATAATTTGGTGTTGTATTAGGCCTACTACTAAGAACCCAGTGAAGGCTGAGATTGCCTTTTGCATTAATTTACTGTCTAACTGTCCTTATACCAGGAGCTTAAAATCACTGGGGCCCTGGAACAACCTACATTATGTTTTTCACAAAAATACTATTCCTGCTGCATCTTAGAATAATTAATTATAGGCCTATCCTTGAATATAATTTGAATATACTAATTTGCCAGTAGTGCAGTTAATTCTCTTTTTACTGCACTTTGACAGTTCTGCTTGGTTCAAATTAGCTGTTGTCATAAATTAAAAAAAAAAAAAAACTGTGCCGCCTGTTGGTAAACCTTGTAACTTTTTAGTGTTATCAAACATCATAGAACCAACTTGTTTAATTGAATCAGCTGTTGAGATTCTTTAATTCTTTTTAAACTAGTGCACCTGTTGCTCGAATTCGAGCAATTGCAAAGTATTATAGGTGTTATTTCAAAACAAATAACCCTAACAGTCATGATAATTTCCTATGTAAAAGAGTCAACTCCAAGATAGTGTAATCAATCATTCCACTCCAGTTATCGAAACTGAAAACGAACTCACTCTGAAAACGAACACTCTTGTGTGTATCATGTGTTTACTATAAACGGCTGCAATTAATACAAATTATTCCTCTGTTTAAGTAAACAAAATCTTTTCTTCATAAGAAATACATTAGGATTTCGATGGCCTGTGGGGCAAAGTCCAAGGACTTTTATTACAGGAATTGGTGAAAGGGGCGTTTACAAAAAAACAACTTTATTTTGACACGTCGTTTGTAAAAATCATTATTAACAGAGGAGTAGTGTTTCATAGAAATCGCCTTCACGTATTATTTAAGTTGGAGAATTAGTGATGAATGAGTGAGTGAGGGCTTTTACTTTTAAATGTTTAGATGAACTGGTTGCATTTCCTATAGAACATATTAACTATTTACCAACTGGTATTAAATTGGATGATCTGATTTATGTTTAATATTTTAAAGAAAGACCATGTACAATTTTTTAAGGAAGAGATATTATAGTTAGGATATGATTCAAGAAGCTTACCTGAGGTGCTCTCTTGTATAGACAACAAAATGGATCAGACATATATTTTCCCTAGTAAGTAACATCCTAGACAAAAATTATTAAATATAGACTGTCAGCCGTGCTGTAGTTACCATAGGTTCTGGCGCACACCGCTGGGAGCGCCGTGTGGTTACATAGCGTGTACGCCGTAACTACATGGCGCTCCCAGCAGTGTGCGCCAGAACTTATGGTAACCGCAGCACAGCTGACGGTCTGGGTCTATATTTAATTCTTTTTGTCTATGGTAAAATTTAGGACTCCCTAAGTAAAAATTTCCCTGAACCTCAAACATAGAGATTTGAAAAAATTACCTACTATTTACAATGTTATATACAAAAAATTTAACTTTTTTTGTGGTGTGATTAAAATAATTTGGGAATTTTTAGGACGAGAATATTGGGATATGATATGTAAAATCTCTTAGATGTTGTCACAACTGGAATCAGTAGAAAACATGTATTAAACTTTTATGGTAATTTTTGGCAATCTTTGACTGGTGATTTAGGTTTGCCATTCTGTACAGGCTTTTTTTTTCTTTGGCTGAAGCACGGCGGCCCCTCCTAAACCCTTGGTCTAAGTCAGAGACATATTCACCAGGCCGCTTTCCTGGAAAACTTTGGAGTGCTCTCCTTTTGTCAGCTCCAATCCTCGTCTTTCAAGGCAAATTCTGTGCCTACCCAACACACCTGTTATCATACCACTCGGTACTAGGGCTAACATATATCTTCTTACTTTATTTAATTTCCCATTATTTTTCCCTTTTTAAACTCCAACCTGTCTCCCTACATCTTCTACTGCACGCCTCTTCTTCTGTACAGGCTGGGCTGGGGACAGAGTTCCACGTCATCTCCAGTGCTGCCAAACCTCTGGCCGGCTGGATTGCTCGAGACGCCATCCAGGAGTGCAGAGAGGCCTGTGGTGGTCATGGTTATCTCAAATGTGAGTGTGAGATGGAAATTTGAATATTTGTATTAGAGAAAATATACAGCATTTTAGATATGTAGTACATTGGAGATTTAGTATTGAGTCTGGTTTTCTTCCAACTGTCAGTGATTCTACCTCGATCGCAATAGACGATGATATCCCATTGATTGCGGGAAACGTCCACAATATGGGGTGGGGAGGAGGGTGTCAGTGATGACAGGGAGTAAACATAGGATAGGTAAACATTAAAAAATTGTTTGAATTGGCCTATTAAAGCTAAATACTAGGGGTGGGCGAGTAGTGATTTTTCAATTCGAGTCGAGTCGAGTCGAGTATTTGAGTAAAAACTCGAGTATCGAGTCGAGTCGAGTAGTTGCGCGTTAAGTAGGCCTAGGCCTAGGCCCTGGGTTTAAGCTGCGGTAGTATTTTTAGCTATTCACAACTTAAAAATGCTAAGTTTGGCATTGTTTTGCAGGCTAGGCCTATGGCAAATTTTCTACAAATAAAATTGAAAGATGTAATGTTCAAACAAATGTAATATTAGCCTACTGGAATTTTTTGTTTTAAATGCTTAAGTTATTGAAGAATATTTTTTCTACAGTTAACTTAGTTTTTGTCTTTGCAGAGAGTTTGCAGGATTTTGCTGAAACAAATTTCATCCTAGCCTAAACCCTGCCTAGGCCTAAATAGGTAGTTTAAGTACTTAGGCTATACCAAATTTTCTAAGTTATATGGTTACTAATTATTAGTACCTCCTACCTTAGGCCTAATAACAAATTTGGCCTAGACTACTTGTTGGCTGCAGCATTAAATTATTTAGGCCTACACATCACTTGTTATTGTGTTTTATTTTTTCTTGCCTTTAATTCCTCCTCACTAACATGATAATCAACCTAACTAACTAACTTAATAAGGTAACTTTAAGAATGATTTCAATTCAAATAAGAAACAGAATTTATAAAAATAAATTATTTATTTATAAATCAGAAAACTAATATCAAACTACATATTGTATCACAAGTTAAAAACATCAATATGCAATTAGGTATTTTAAAATAATCACTTAGATAAGCACTTCATCTGTCTTAAGTTTGAAGGTTATGGGTACTAGGGCTATCCTCCTCACCCATTACATTTATAAGAATGATCAAGTCAGTCGTCTCTGACAGACTGAAAATATCAAACAAAAACATAGTAGGCCTATTATCTCGAAATAAAATCCCACATCAAACACTTAATTTAAAATAAAACACATTTCACTGTAGCCCGGTATAGCCTATTTGGCCTTTATTTATAAACTCACATTTTCTAGGTTAAGTTACATTTCAAACAGTAGTTGTCATGTTTCTGCCACCAGATTGAAAATTGCACAATCAAAATCACAAACAGAATATGTTTATTTTAATTTCTATTAAACTTCCACTAACAAAATCAATTTTATTTTTAGTTACAAATTCACTTCAAAATAAAAACATTCAAAACTGACATTGATATAACTTCAATCACTCCAATCCATCGTTTTGTTGTTACGCCAGCTGTCATCATATCTGCTCTCTCTCTCTCTCTCTCTAGTCAGTCTGCTCATTCTGCTTTCTGCTTCTGCTTTGTTTTCCCATCAAACAGCTGTTTTGCAGGGCTGACGTTGCCATATTTTTATCATTACACCATAATGTCGGTAAAATTATCATAAAATTGCTATAGCTTTTATTTCGTAAAAAAAATTAATAGTTTGACTAATTTTAATCATGTTTATGTAAACTGATTAGAAAATAAATTATACTTATAGTTTGTTTACGCCAATACCACAGTTGTAAAAGTACAACAATTATCGTCCATCTGGCAACACTGAGTTTAAAGTGGAACTGATCTTTTCTTTCTGCCAAGACCCAATGAGATTGCGTCATTCAGATGCATCGATGTTCCTTGCAGTAACTTATCGGTTTGTAAAACTAAACACCAATACCGATTTATGTGAAAAAATATGCTACAACAGGTTATTTTATTTGTTGTATTTCTATATTTTGGTATAAAATATTTTGTTATTTCTATATTTTGGTATAAAATATTTTTATGGCAATTCAAACTAAATCTGATACTGTACTTTATATTTTATAATGTCTTCAAGAATCGTCTGCCATTGTTATACTAGTCACGAGACTCCCTTGTTGACTATCGATTGCAATTCCGATAGATTCATTCAATGCTTTATTTCAACTTACTGTATCGTTATCGAGACGTATTGTTGACTGTTGTAGGAAAGTGAAAGTCTGTTAGTAGTCCTCTTGCTAGCTCTGCCGAATGACGATGGGTGTTTGTTGAACATTTGGTTTACGCTGGTCTAACCTATATGAGGTTTAGTTGTTTTTTGTAGGAATGGGGATTAAATAAGGCATCAACACAAAACAAAATATAATTTATTAAATATGGGTGTAGAAAATCGTGAAGTGGGACTATTTATAACTACTCGACTCGAGTTTTCGAGTAGTAATTACTACTCGACTCGAGGTCGAGTATTTGAAAAAACTCGAGTAATTACTCGAAAGTCGAGTACTCGCCCACCCCTACTAAATACTCTACTGCTTTTCTATTGGCAACCCATATCAAGCCTTACAACTACACGGTTTTAAAAATTGCAGTGATTGTCGGTTCAAATAATTGTTTGTGGTTATCCAATAGTATATCATAATAACTGATGTTTCACAATTAAACTGCACCAAATATGATTTATTTTAGTTAAAGATTTTGTTATTTATGTAACTAATGTGTTTTTGACCCATTATTTGGGAGGACTGAGGAGGAATTAGTCCAAAAACACCCCCAGTTCTGTAGGGTTTGAGCTCCCTCGACTGAAACGTCACGATTACGTCATGTCACAATCTATTATTTGTTATTATCAAACAGTGCTACAAAGACTGCAAATTGATTTTGTTTGTCATTGCTATCTGAAATAATGTTTACTCAATATTTATTAAACATGAACCTTTTTCTGCACGGGGAAAAATCCCAAACTGTCCTGTCCCAAACCTGTCCATCGGTAACAGATATACAAACATAAACCACCTAACGAATTGTGGATATTTATAGGTATGCACTGTGGATGCGATACTCCTTGGTGTTGATTAATGTCTGCACGAGTGAGAACGACTATCCGCAGTATTTTCCTGAAAACTAGATCAATTAATTTGTATATACCAAGGCAAATTCGAATTCCACTATAAACTGTAGGTCCCTTAGTTGCCATTAGCTATGTGGGCTATTAATTAACAGCTGTGTCTAAGGAGTAAGTCAGCCTTAGTCACTAACAAGACTACAAGATCACGCCACTCATCCTACACTCATCTCCATTCATACTTTGGCTTAAAATACCTACTTTTATGGTCGCCATTTCATTGAAAAGTATTAAAAGTAAAGTATTAACACTTTTAACACTATAAATTTACTTTCCTCAGGTGCAGGACTTAGTGACATCAGGAACGACCACGATGCCAACTGTACCTACGAAGGAGACAACAATGTGTTGGTACAGCAGACGAGCAACTGGCTGGTCACTCAGTGGTCACAGAAGAACCTGTCTGTGTACGACACACCCATGGGGTCTGTGGCATTCATGCGTAACGCCCCGGTCATCCTCCAGTCTCGGTGGACGGCTAACAGCTTCGAGGAGGTGTGCGATTTACAGGGTGAGTGTGCTAAATCAGCAGTAAGGTTGGATAAGCAGAAAGGTCAGATAGCACAACAAATGATAAAAACTGAACTGTGTTAAAAAAATCATATATGTCAACAAATTAACAAATACACCACACGTTTTGTCACTTGTAGTGTGGTACGTAGAAGTCGAAAACTTTTACAATTTGGGATCAATAATGACTTGTTACATACACTAAAACCAAAACTGTATTTTCTCTCTGGATTTTAACAGGACTTGCCAAATCCCACTGTCGTTTTAAAAGAGGGTTAGGCAAACTTTTAATATTATACAATAAATTAATAAATAACTTTTAAACTGTTGGCCAAATGTTTAAATATTACAAGTTAATAAGCTTATATGTATGTGTGTAATGGTTTAAATGTTTTTTTAATGCAATAATTTACTTTCACTTTCACAATTTACAATAAATACCTACTTTTTATTTGATGAACACCTAATACAAATTAGTAAACTAAACTCAAGAACATACAATTAAAAATAAATTTGAAGTTACAATTGTTACTGCATAGCTAAAACATAAATAAATTTGTACAACTGCATTCCATTCCAAATTCCAACCTTTTTTGGTACAAATTTAATACCACCAACTTTCAGAGTAGGCCTAGAATTGAAATCCTTGTCGGTCAGTCTGTTATATTTTTAAATTGTTAATCTGCCCACATAAGAAAGTCAAATCAAAAAGTTATTATAAGCCCTTGGAAAAACTTTTTGGAAGAGTGATGTCTCCACCAGTAGCCTAATTTATTTTACCTTGTCAGAACCATTTTGCAATCTAACTGTGGGCCAGAAAAAAATACCTCGCAGGCTGCTCATGACCCCTGTTCTAAAACACTGAAAGTGTGGCGGCCCCAGGAATTCCACTCGGCGGGGGGGGATGACCACCAGTGGTTATGGAATATACCTCAGTAAAAAGGGCGGCGGGGGGGTCCCCTCCCCGGAAAAAAATGTGGAATCTAATTCCCAAAAACATATTTTTATACATATTTAAGCTTTAAAATATGCTCAAGCTAATAGTATATAAGTTTGCTACTAAAATATTAAATATTTAAGGGGGGTGTATATCCCTAAACCCCCCCCCCCTGGGACCGCCACTGCGACTGAAACTAAAACAGAGGGATAGCAGGAAGGTATGCAGCTATGATAATTGCTGAGTAATGCGAAAATGTTGAAAACAAAACAAAATTCAGTAGAAAGTAGGCAACTTAAGTCTGGTGAGTCTCTTCCTAATACAGGGGTGTTGAAAGGGGTATTCTAGGTGTATTCACTATGGTGTACAGTCATGTTGCACAATTGCACACCTCTTAATGTTACTCCAACATTAACTAAAAGAGATTAATTAAATAACTCCAAAAATTTGATAATTTTATATTTTTAGTGAGTTTTTTTGTTTGTTTATAGCCATCATCATAATCTACTTAACATAACTACAAAAACACTAATGCACAAGTCTGTAAGGTTTTTACCTACAACCGTTTACCTACCTGTTTCAGTTCTGTTTCTAGAATTGATAAGTTTCACATAACTGCATTGTTTACTTCAGTGGCGTAGCCAGGATTCTGCTTTGGGGGGGGCCCGATCCGGGGGGTCTGGGGGGCATGGAATACCCCCCAGGACCGAAGGGGAAAAATTTTGGTATTTTATGGTGGTAAATTGCAGTTTACAACACCTCTGGAGGCTCTAAAGTAGAGAATAATATTGGTGTATTACTACTAAAAATTAGTTTTTTTACTGTTCTGAAATCTAAACAAGTTGCCTAAACTACTATTAATCTACGTGAAGTAATTTTAATAAAATAAATCAAGCTAACAAAACTACACTCAACTTATAGAATAAAGCATACTAGTGGTCGTTCAGTGATCGAAAACTCGACCCAAAAATATGTAATGTACACGCAATGACTATTGGATACTGAAGAAGACACTATATGTACCAGCTGCCGTCATTTTTTTAATTATAAAACATTGTACAGAAGACCCTATAATCGGCACTGTACCACTCCGGCACTCCAGTAATCCGGCGTCTTTTGGCGGGAGGTCTTCCGCGGTCGCGGCAAAATTCTGATTATCTCCCGCAGCGGTGTAGATATGATCATTCTCTCCGGCGGTCATGAAAACGTCATCGTCGTCTTGCGCGATCACGGCAATATCATGAACATCTCCCGCTGACGTATAGACGTTATCATCGCCTCCCGCGGTTACGGAAACGTCATCGTCGTCTTGCGTGATCGTGACAAAATCATGAACATCTCCCGCGGTCATGTAGACATTATCGTGGTCTTTCACGGTCGCGGCAAAGATTTTATCATTTCCCGTGGCCATGTAAACATCATTGTCTACTCCCGCAGTCACAGAAACGTCATCGTCGACTTGCGCGATCACGGCTAAATCATGAACATCTCCCGCGGTCATGTAGACATTATCGTGGTCTTTCACGGTAGCGGCAAAGATTTTATCATTTCCAGCGGCCATGTAAACATCATTGTCTACTCCCGCAGTCACAGAAACGTCATCGTCGACTTGCGCGATCGCGGCAAAATCATAAAAACATCTCCCACGGTCACGGAAACGTCATCGTCGTCATGCGCGATCGCGTCAAAATCACGAACATCTCCCGCGGACGTGTACACGTTATCATCGTTTCCCTCGATTACGGAAACGTCATCGTCGTCATGCCCGATCGCGGCAATAGCGGTTTCCTATCGCGCGATCTTCGGAGACGTGTTTTTATTGCATTTTTATGTGTTTTTATTGATAACATTCCAGTAATCCGGCATTTTATATAATAACAACACGTATTGTGTAGTGTGTACGCACTCATTTGACTGTTTCTAGAACGCGCGTTGCAACGCTCCCGTGTGCCGTGTGTACAGGGTAACTAAAAAAAAAAAAAATTCGGGGGGGGGCCCGGCCCCCTTGGGCCCCCTCCCTGGATACGCCACTGGTTTACTTTCATAACAGCATAGTTTTACTCATAACAACACAGGAAACGGACCAAGTAAAATTCTCTTAGAAGTTATGAGAAGTGATTGTTAGTAATTAAAAAACTGTCTTAGGTAAAGTAGTGTACGCAACTCGCAGACTTGTGCCTTAAATTTTATACTCGTGTCGTTAATACTATCTTTACGCAATTGTTGCGGAAAGTACTATTACAAAGGTTGCATTGATTTGCAGTGTTGCTGAAAGCGTACCAATGGCTGATATGTTACCTGACCCAGAGTACCTTTGAGCGACTGAAGACACAAAAGGCACAAGGCAAGGACGCCTTTACTGCCAAGAACGACTCTCAGGTGTTCTTTGCTAGAACGCTCAGCATCGCTTATGTAGAGGTTGGTTGATTTTAGCGAATTTCCCTATAGGGAAGTAGCTATTACCGTAGGTCTCATGGTAAGACCTAGGCCCGGGACCGATTTACTTTTTCATTTTGATGTCCCCAGAGGCCAAAAACACCATTCGTTCAAATTTTTATATATCTATATATATAGAGATATATATATATATATATATATATATATATATATATATTATTTTCTTGCATTTTTAGGGCTACTAATATAATAAAATTAAAACATATATAACAAAGTACCCTTTTATGTATATATATATATATATATATATATATATGTCCATCCGCACGATAACTTGAGTAATTTTTGTCCGATTTTGATAAAATTTGGTTTGAAGGTGTAAGGCGGGATAAACTCGAACGAGTTCGCGAACCAGCATGATCGGACTATGGGAACGGGGGTTTACGGGGGGTTTTATGGGGTAAAAATAGGTTTTTCCCATTTTTGACCCAAAAAAAATAAAATTTTGCAAAATCTTTTCAAACCATTTTGTAGAGCTTAAAAAATCAAATATTTTAGTATGTTGAAGTGTTACTATGCGCCTAATGGTTACGGAGAAAATTCCAAAAAAATGTAAATTTTAAATTCCCATGTTATTCTTACGGAGAATAAGTCAACTGTTGTAGTTTGCTTGTTTATGAACATACTTACTTACTTACTCCTGTGGCCACACAAATCCCAAGTGATTTTTGGCCTCGCCAACAATGCTCCTCCACTGCTGCCTATCTTCTGCTGCCTCCAAACTCGCTCCTAACCTCCTGAGGTCCTGCCTCACTTGGTCATTCCATCTTAATCTGGGCCGTCCCAGCGGCCGTCGTCCTTCTGGTTGCCCCATCCATACCTTCTTAATCATACTGTTATCATCTCTTCTATATACATGTCCCAGCCATCGTAATCTTCTGCTCTTTACCATTGCTATGATATCTGGGTCATTATAAAGTTCTCTCAATTCTTGGTTCTTCCTTATCCGCCATTCACCATTGTCATTAATAGGACCAAACACTCTACGTAAGATTTTATTTTCAAAAACTATCAATTTCTTTTCATTTTGCTTTGTAAGTGTCCAGACTTCTGCTCCATATAGTAGAACTGGTTGTATTATTACTTTATACATCTTTATTTTAGTTCTTCTGGTCAGGAGTCTACTTCTAAATAGTTTTGTTAGACTCCAATAGCACCGTTGAGCTGCTGCTAATCTACATTGGATTTCGTCGTCTTGTCTGCTTTCACTTGTTATTGTCACTCCCAGATATTTAAAATTGTCAGTTTTTGTGAATTTAAAATTTAAGACTTCCAAGTATGGTTGGTTATCAGGTAGTCTACTTATCTTCATTATCTTAGTTTTCTCTTCATTTATTTTTAATCCCACTTTTTGTGTTTCAGTGATTAGCTTTTCTGCTAGCTCCTTAATATCTTTTTTATTTTCTGCTATTAGTGCCACATCGTCTGCAAATGCTAGAACGTTTGTCTTCCCGCTAATCTTTGCACCTCCCTGAAGACTGCTCACCTCTCTCAGCGCTTCTTCAATGACTATATTAAATAATAATGGGGATAGTGCATCGCCTTGTCTTAGTCCTGTGTTAATTCTAAAGGTGTCTGAGTATTCATTTTCTACTTTGACTTTTGATATGGTCTTAAATGAGCACATTTTCGTAAGATTGACAAGTTTCTTTGGAATCCTGTGTTTTTCCATCAACTTCCACATTTTTTGTCTTGATATGCTATCATAAGCTTTTGCAAAGTCAACAAAAAGAATATACAAGTCTTTGTTGTATTCCCAGTATTTAGATGCTATTTCTTTCAATATGAAAATCTGGTCGGTTGTTGATCTGCCTGTCATGAATCCTGCCTGGTGTTCTCCCACTATGTTTGCAGCGTATTTCTCTATTCTATTAAGAATTATTTTAGAGAGTATTTTGTAAGTTGTGCTTAAGAGTGATATTCCTCTGTAATTTTTGCAGTCTAGTTTGTCACCCTTCTTATGGATGGGGACAATTACAGCTTCCTGCCATTCAACTGGTATTTTCTCTGTTCTCCATATTTTCACAATCAGCTTGTATAAATATTCTTCTAGAATCGGGCCTCCATTCTTAATTAGTTCTACTGGTATCATGTCTCCACCTAGGGCTTTTCCATTCTTTAGACTTTTTACTACATTTTTCACTTCTTCTCGGGTCGGCTCATCAATAGCTTCATCTACATTTTCTGTACCTATTTGTATTTCATCACCTATTCCACTGACCTCCTCACAATTCAATAGGTCTTCAAAATAATCTTTCCATGTATTAAGAACTTTTTGTTTTTCACTAACCAATGTGCCATCCATACCTCTGATTCCAAAGACTCGTGGTTGATACCCCTTTTGAAAAAATCTTACAGTTCTATGAAAATCTTTTACATTGTTCATTGATCGGTCTTCTTCTGCCCTTGTTATTTTGCTATTTATGTATTTCCTCTTTTCAGTTCTTAGTATTCTAGTCGTTTCTCTGTTAATTCTTCTATATTGTTCTTCCGTTTCAGCAGTTTGCTGGCTCAAAGTACGCGCTTTAGCTTTCTTTCTTTCGATGACCATTTTTCTGCATTCTTCATTGAACCACTTATTTTTGGGAGGTTTCTTATTAGAGAATGAAGATTTTGTTGCCTCTTTTATTGATGTTTTGAACTTTGTCCACATTTTCTCTACTTGTTCTTCTGCTTCTATCTCCTCGTCTCTTGTGTCATCCAACTCCAGTGGGTCAAATCTATTATATACTTCTAATTTAAAACGCCCTACATTTTCTGGTTCAAAATGAATAATTTTGTCTACATTGTGTTTTTCTCTTTTTTCGAGTTTTAATTTTTGCCTTATTTTTGCTAAGACTAGAAAGTGGTCTGTTCCACATTCAGCACCTCTCAGACTTTTAACATCCATCACTGATGATTTATGTCTTACATCTATCAGAACATGATCAATTTGATTTATTGTTCTTCCATCTGGAGATTTCCAAGTTTGCTTGTGTATGTCTTTTCTTATAAAACTTGTACTTGCAACAAAGAGATTATGAGAGTTTGCAAAACTTAACAATCTTATCCCATTGTCATTTGAGACATCATGTAAACTTTCTTTTCCAGTTATGTTCCTCCATATACTTTCCTTTCCTACTTTGGCATTGGCGTCCCCTAATATAATTTTCATATCATATCTAGGAATGTTATTTATTGTGTCTTCTAGTTGAGAATAGAAAGTGTCCTTTATATCATCCTCTTTTTCCTCTGTGGGAGCATAAAAGGTAACTACCGATATATTCTTAATTCTACCCTTCAATCTAATAGTGCTTATTCTCTCGCTAATAGGATTGAACTTTATCACAGACTCAAGTAAAGCTTTTTTAATCGCAAACCCTACGCCAGCGTAGTGCCTGCCCTCATTACATCCACTATACAATATTTGGTAACTCTTAGTATTTACTTTGCCACAATATGGCCACTTTGACTCTTGAAGAGCGACTAGATCCATTTGGTAACTTTCTAATTCATCGTTCAATATATCTATTTTTCCTGGTATGGCTAGGCTCCGAATGTTCCATGTTCCAAATCGCAAATCCTTATGTCTTAGCTTAGGTCGAGATCCGGTATTTCCATCCAATTCCGAGGCTTGTTGTTGGCGTTTCGAAACAACGAGTTTTTACGAGATAAGGTTGTCAGCCTTATGCCCAACCCCCAACCTGGAGGACCAGGGTATCCCTTTTCGTCTGGCTCCTACCTCACAAAGACCTGTCCGGCAAGGGAGGCCCTACCAGTAGCTACGCTACCGCCGGCATAGCTCTCGAGGTTGTCAGAGCACACAAGCCCCACCGCTACAGCAAAGCAAGGATACCTTCGGGGGGTGTTTATGAACATATTTTGATCAAATTTGGAAAATGTTTTTATTTCTTACTAACTATTAACATTTTACAAAAAAAGTTTTACCCTCCCTGATGCAGCAAACCTAAGTACCTGTTAAAATAATTCTATTTAAATAGAAAATAAATGTTAAATTTTTAAGTAGACATTTTAGTGTAAATCCAATCAGACATATGGAAATTTGCTTAGTCTGCAGGTTTGCTGCGGCGGGGGTATTTTTTCATTTTTTTTTTTTTACTTTTGAAAACATTGCATACATTAAGAGGCCTACAGATAGTTCTTGCTAAATGTGGTAGATGCGTTCTTGCAAGGTGTTGAAAAAGCAAAACTGCATACCATTCGATTATGCAAACATTTAAAACAAAACGTAAACATTTTACTTCTATTTTTATACTGTTCGGCACTCTGTTCATTGTATTAGACCAGTGTTACCATAAAATAATTTGTTGAAAATTATTTTACTTTGGGATAGTGTTGAAATTTTTCATTTAAAATCTACAGAGGTGTGCGAGACCAAGGTTTTTGAACCAAGCCTAAACAATATATGGTTTGGCTTCATTTCCTGACCAAGTGTAATTTTTAAATATTTATTAGTAGTATTCTGTATTCTTATCAGAATTAAAAATGTATTTCATTATTAATTTATTTCAGTGTTTGATCATTTTAGCTTTTAGGCAGAACTTTGCTTGTCTTGAAACTCAAGCCTGTTACATGTCTCTAAAAATTCATTCGATAACTATTTTGTTAATATTACAACAATATCGACATACTATATTGATAACATTAAATTGTAATTACTTTTTAATTGGCAATTTAACTTACAGCACTACATATTGTGGAAGTTCTCCGAGCGGGTCGACAGCCAAGCGGAAGACCCGAGCATTCAACAAGTGTTGAAAAAGTTGGCAGCACTGTACGGTGTGTGGAGTTTGGAGAGACATTTGGCAACACTGTACCAAGGTATGTGAAAAAAATTCAGTTTGAAAAATGTTTTTATTTCATAGCTAAACCGTGCAACCAATCTTTGTATTCCCACTTTACATAGGATGACATATAATTTTTTCTTATGGTACAGGAGGGTACGCGGTAGGACCGCAGCCAGTTGTGTTGCTGCGGGAAGCAATTCTGCAGCTCTGCAGCCAGTTGAAGCCAGAAGCAGTTGCGCTGGCTGATGTCATTGCACCACCAGACTTCATCCTCAACTCTGTTCTCGGCCGGTCTGACGGAAATGTGAGTTTTATTCATTTGGTTTTGGAAACATGTGTTGTACCATAGACTAACCAACACAAGTAGACTTTTTATCCTATGAAAACGTTGATGCTCGTTTTTGTTTCTTATTCATGTTGTTGACAATAGGCGCTAGTGTCGACAACAATTTTTGTTTTATTATTTTAGGGTTAGTTTAATAATTTGATCTTTACTGTTTGGTTATTCACCTTGGGAAAGAGTGATTGTTTATGATTAGGTCGTTTTATTTGGTTAAACAAGATTTCAAATAACTTAAATAACAAGTAACAAATTTTAAGCAAAAAAAAACACTCTAGCGGCACTTGATGGAACTAACAATAAAATTGTTTTCAGCTGATCCTTAAGCATGAAAATCTACTAACGGAGTAAATTTAATCTATAACTGTGCTTACTTGTTGATTGAGCAATTTTAAAGCCTAAGAAAACTTGAAGAAGAGTTTTCTAGTGGTTGAGTTTAGAAGTTTAAAACTCAAGAAGTGTTTACGTTGAATGTGGATTGGTTGAAATATATTAATTAGCTTTCTTACCTACTGACTAAGAACAGTTTTACCCTTAGCCAGAACTATTGGATCAATGGTGAAGTAAAGCTTGGGCCAGTTTTGAAATTTGAACCTTAAAAAAGCCAAGAACTATCCTCAGTTTTGATTGCCGAAGATGTACAGTAGAACCCCTAATATCCGGCCTCGGAATATCCGGTATCCGGGTACCAAAAATATTTCCCACGGCTGTAGACGTAGTCTCCACGATTTGAGCGTTCTCGCGGTTTATCTTTTTCCTGTTCATATACATTTTTAGCAGGCTCACTCACTACTCAGTTGAGCTAGTAGACTCCCAAAATAGTCTTAAACGCTACTTTTAACCAATTACAAGTTGTTATTAGATATAAATTATGGTTTTAGTAATAGGTTGGTTTATCCGTGGCCGGTTATAAGGGTATTTACTGTATTAGAAAAATATCCAAGAATGCAAACATATTTGGTAATCCTTCCAGGTGTACAAGAATCTTCAGTCATCATTGTTCCAAAACAAGAACACTTTTGAACGGCCGTCTTGGTGGACAGAGATCACAAAGTTTACTTCACGAGCTAAACTTTAGTACAAAAGTATACTTGCAGCTATTCTCTTCTCGTAAAATGTTCTTCCATTGTTATGTCTATTACTAGAAAGAAAAAGTTTTACACTTGAGTTTTTACAAATATATTTAGAGATATTCAAAGAGGTTAAAGTTAACAAATACAGAAGTTGTTTGTTTACTTTTTTAGTGAAAGGTAAAACCAACTACATTCTATTTTAGTAAATGCCTCAGGTTCATACGATAGAAAGAAATAATATTAGAACAAATATTGCTGTTAGTTATAGTTTTTAATCAACAATTAGTTTTAGTATTTACGAGCTTTATTTTAGGTTAGGTAGGAGCTATTATTTCAAGAGTAAGTGTAGATTTTGGTAGGCATGAGTAGTTGGTGGGGATAAACATATGTTGAATGTATAAACTATCAAAATATCTTATTTGGGGTGATCCAAATTCAGTTTTCCGTTTAAAATTTAAGAAAGAACTCATACTACTATACATTTTCTTAAATATTATTTGATTAACATTATCTTTGACATTTTTAATTAATAGTACTAAAAGAAACGCCAGAAAATGGCCACCACTGGACCTCCCACTGCAGTTAATTCTATCGAGGAAGTTTTTTAATGATTTTCAGCCTTCAGGTTTTCTTTTTTCTTTAACTTGGCAAATGTTTGCTTTCAGTTGTTCCAACAATGATCTCACAAAATAACATGAAGATTTTCATCGTTCCATATTTGTAAATTCTGTTTATAAACATAACCAGAGATAATGAAACTTGCTTCTTCAGGGTAGAAGATATTCTTTGACAAATCAATCAATCAACCGTCTTTATTTGTCTTTGTACATAAATACAAAAAATTGTGTTATATGTACATAATATGACAATGCCTATATATACACACACACCTAATATACTGTACCATCTACATAGTTTTAAGGATCACCAATCCCAGACAATCCTTGCTCCTAATGCAAACTCACTAGTAGAGAAGACCTGAAGAGAGAATAACTTCCTTCTTCTACAAATCAGTTTCAACTTCCTGTTGTTTCAACGCCCATTCTGGATAAATGCTTCACAGTCAGTGATCACCGGTTTTCAGTTTTTGGGCTGTAACTGTTTGTAAGAATGTAATTGCAAATCCTTATGCAAAATGTGCCTAAAGTTAACCGTAGAGAAAAAACCTAATGTCTGAGAACAAAGACACTGATCACCGTGGGCTCTTTGTTCACAATAACACTCACATATACTTGGTAATACACTCAATAACACTCGGTAATACACTTGGATAACCGAATTCACAATGAAAAACAGACCTTATTTTATCTTAAATGGTTCCAGTTTCGGGAAATTTCTTTTCAACATCGTGAAATTACACTCATTAAAATGGTCAGATTGACATTCAAAGAATTCGTAAGAAATTATATTTCTGCCGAGAAGTTGAACAGCTTTAACACATTAAATAAAACATTCCATTTCGTTAATCTGCTATGCACTGACATTTTGATGTATTGCAAACATGAAACAAAGAGCAGCTGTTCAATCGTCAGTGTTGCCAAAATAGGAAACTGAAATTGAATCACCCTTTACCAGAAAAAAGCTCAAAATATTAACATTTACTATATGAAACATGAAACAACTGTTAACAAATAAACAATTGAGATCAACAATGAAACAATTATGTGCAACAATTGAAAACTGATGTTATATGAACAAAGAATACATTTAGGATCTGTGTAAAAAAAATGTTATGGTGTACCAATAATTTTTGGAATATAATTAATTAATACATTTTCTCTACTTGAAGTTATATAATGGAATATTGCATGCCCTAGTTATATGTTTAGCTAAACAGTATTTGGTTGGTTTTCATGGCTGCCTTTTAGTTTTAAGTGAAGAAGTAAAACTGTAAAAACATATTTACAGATAGCTTAACAACACATTTTTCCAAGGAACTTTAAACTTATCTTAATGTTTTATTCATAAAATTGTTCATATTATTAACATGAAAATGCAATAAAATTAATTGGGACTTGCATTTTATTCAAATGATTGTATTATGTTAAAGTACCAATATTTCAGTTCAAAGAACATAATCTTGTTCACAATTTTGCAATTAAAATATGTTTTAAAACTGTATAAAAACTAGTGATGTGTCAAAGTTAAAATTCAAATCCACGGAATCTTAAGGAAAATATATAATTTATACGTAAGCACTTCTTTAAATTTTTACATGGCTTATTGGGATTTTAGTTTATTTCTCATCAAAGGTTTCATTTTGGCAAGGTGATTGATAATTTTATAAACTGGTAACCATCACTGTTGAGATTTTACTAAAATAGCAAGTGAAAAAATTATCATGAGAATTTTTTTTTTCTGTACATTTAAGAGGAAGAATTGATTGTAAGAAATTCTTAGAAAAATCAAAACTCTTAGATTTGACCATCACTAGTTAAAGCCCCTTCTCCCTTAGACATATTTTGATTACTGGATATTTTACATGCCGTTTATTTCCAATGGAAAGTTTACATCAAGTCCTTTGACTATTTTAGATGTTGCTCAATTTGTTCATTTATGTACCTTAAAAGCTTCATAAAGTGGCTATTTTCTCATTATTTTTGCTCAAAGAAATGAGTTTTGATCTCTACTTAATACGTAAAACTTTGTTCAAATACACAAATCAAAGCAAAGAACATTTTGTCATAAAATAACCCTCAGGTAACTTAGTTAGACAAAACATTTATTTTGTCATGCATTATTAAGAAAATAAATGTAAAAATAAGTGTATGTAATATGGTGTCTCTATATTATAAAACATTATTTTATTAGTCATGTCTAGATTAATTAGAAATCACTTTAAGAATAAATTATGTTTTTTCAAGCTTTTTAGAACACCCCTGCAGAATAAAATTTTAGTTGATTCAGTTCTTACAAAAAATGAAATAGTGCTAACAAATTAAGAATAGATTGTTGTTTGCAAAAGTTTTATTTCTCTTTTCAAGTTTTCTTGTTTAAACCTTTAGATTGTTTTTCCCTTTTTACTGTTGGTATCAAGTTAATGTTGAAGGTATATATGTTAAAAGGGCGCTGCCTGAATAAATAACAAGAACTGGTTAAAGAAGTAATTTGTGGTTCATGAGCAAAAAAGTTAATGTATATGCATGAAACTATTGGGCAGTATTTAGTTGGAATATTAATTCAAATAAATGGCTGTAAAGTTGTATTTTATAGTAAGATTTATCCACAAATGTATGTACTGTAGAAGACTTTGTACCTTGCAGTGTTATTCAACTCATAATCAAAAGTTATTCTCTATAGGTGGCTGAAATTATGCTTTGGGTTTAGAACAATGTGTGTCATCTAGTTAAGTAAATTATAAGTTGTGTTTTTATATATTTTATTTCCTGTTAGTGGTTAATTGAGAATAAATCTGAATACAGTGCCTTCATATTTGTATTTTTTTATCAAAGTATCACAACTCAAATTTTTTGTGGTATAGAAAACCCCTTGTAATGTGCCGAGATTGATCGGTGTTATAAATTATGCTTACATTTTGAAAAACTTGCTGTAACAAAAGTACAAAGAAAGATTCTTTTCAATAGTGGCAATTATTAGCAAGGGCATGAGGGGAGTGTTTACCCACAATTTAAGAAAGATACATCAATTAATGTAATGTTTGTGCATAATCTGTCTCCATATATTCCTGGTGGTTTTTGCTGTCTACTTCTAATACACAAATTCTGCAACTGCTTTTGGGGGATCTTAGGGAGAATTCTTCTAGAGCTGAACTTAAAACTGGTCAATAGATATCATTTTATAGACCAAAGGAAGCACATAGCATTAAAAATGTTGAATAATCGATGAAGCTAAGGATGCAAACCTGAATTAGTTTTATGATACTGCACTGTAGCTCAACTAAAGGTCAAGAGATTTAATTATGCATATTTATATCAAGTTTTCCCATTTCTTCTAAAAAGCGTCAAAATGATGTAAACCAGTTTTGATCGACACACACTAAAGAGGATGCCTGGCTTAAAAAACAAAGCATTAGACAGACTATTATTATATGGTGCTAAAGCCAAATATTAGCAATTACTGTAACACAAACTTTGATTTTTAATTCATTCATCTCAATACTGAAAAAAAACTATGACCGCATAACTTAAGTCGAGGGAAGATTCAAAGATACTAAGATATTATAAACAACAAATATATTCTCTCATACAAGTAGTAACTTAAATAAACATCATTTTTGAATACTGTATAATATTTTAATATAAAGAAGTACGAATTAGTATTTAGTAGACTCTGACGTTGGGGACTTCCAACTTGGCTTCCAAAGGTGAAGACAATCCAAACACGTAGAAGTTCTGTGATTGTTCTCCAGACGCAGCCGAGTAATTCACGACGTCAACACCCTTCGCACTGAGAGCCTCTGTGAGAAAATAAATGAAATTAAACATTTGAAATATTGCATTCAATCAACGTCACGTAAGATAATATCTTACATATCTTACAAGAAATACTGGCATTTTAAAACCATGCCTACTGTCATTGACCTATGCACCACCAAGGCAGTCTAGACTTCATGTCCGGCCGGTACTTGTCGATCACTGTCTCAGTAGTTTTATTAATTTTATATTTTAAACCTTCGTGTCCGTTTAAAGTCCGTGTTCGGTGTTTCTCAATTTGTCAAAACTATGATGACATTCAAATGAAGTGAATATTTTATCCTTTACACCTGAAGACGACTTCACAGAGTTGAAACCGGTTGCAACATAAAGCAACGAATTGGATTACTTAGATGCAAGGAATTTAATTTACTTTAAGTATTTAAAAACCCTTGCATAGCATTTCAAAGATTTAAGCATATAGTTTCAATTGTATATTTAGGATTGTTCAGGATTAAAATAATTGCCACTGGTCCTTGGCTTAGATATTCTGAATTACATATACTCCATGGGTAGCAATTACTTAGTCCAGGTATCTTGCGCTTAAAAATAGTCTCATATACAGGGTGAACAACTTAACTGGGCCACCATTGGTATCTCATAAACTGTTAGAATTAGAGAAAACATGGAGAACTTTAACTATTTTCTTATCACATTAAAAATATGACTACAACTTTTTTTTATGGTAGCTATTTTTAACATTTCTTATGTTTTATACCTTTTATGTAATGGTTATTTTATAATGTAATTGTAATTTTTTTTAAAGTTTTTTATTCTTCATAAATTCATAATTTTCCTCTACAGATACTCATTTAGGAGCTACATCGTGGAGTTACACCCTGTAAAGAGTGGCCTTCTGTGTAGCTCCTAAACTAGCGAATTCGGAGAGGAAATCTTAAGAGTACATAAGTCTCAAAATTGCATCTACATTCTAAAAAGATCATAAAATACAGAGTGTTCATAAGAAATTTTAAGCGCCATCTTTGGTGACTATGTTTGAAAAAGTGAAATTCATATTTGTACTGTATTTTGTGATATTTTTTCGGACTGGTAATATATTTTTTTGAAGTTCCAAGTAAATTTTACCTGATATAGCCAGGAAATCTTGTCTGGGGTTGGCACCACTGAACAGTTGGACACTGTTCCAATCAGCTGTTGAAGTGCCAACAAGTCTACCAACTTGAGAAAACTGAGCTCCATTAACAGCCAGCAGGTAATGGATAGTCTTGCTTTTGATTGTTCCTGTGGAATATGGTACAGTAAAATTAATTGTTTGGAAAAGAGCCCAGAATTAGATATGCAACAATTTAGGAGCACTCATTGTGTAAATGAATTACAGTAAATGAAACACGCTTCTTTATTAATGTGAACTTAGGATCTCATGGTCCTTGCTTACAGTTAACATCTACAATACTACAATATTATTAATACAATGGTTGATTTTTGGTAAGGGCCATATGTGCGCTTATCTTCTTAGTTCGCTTGTAGGTTGGTAGCACTGACCTGTGACGGAGTTAGTTCCCCTGGCGGTGGTAACGCTGACAGTGACACTCTTTTGCTCGCTTGGCTCGTAGCGTTGGCTGACAACAAGCCCCGCCTCCTGGGCTAGCTGAGGGGCGTTGATGAGGTTCAGTCCGTTGCTGGTACGTCCAGTCAGAAGTCCTACAAGAGCTGCAGTCCCCAGGAATCCCATGTTTTCCAGTGCTGAACCTTAAGAATAGAGTTAACTGTGTGAATATAAATTGCAAAGAAATATTGAATTTTCTAACTATGATCAATGTGATAGTTTTCAGTGAACCTTCGATATTCCTAGCTCAAGTTCAGTAATGATGGCATAAAAGGGGAGGACAAAAACAATTTTTTTTTTATAACTTTTGTCTTTGTCGTATTTCATAATGCTTTTCGGATTGTCTTGAAAACGTCCATTAGTTATATTCCATATTTATGACATAATCTGTAATCATACTTTTTATTTACTTCACGTATATGTACAGCAACTAGAAGATCACCAAACATGGTTTTAACTCAGTGCCAAAAACACACCAAACTTAATTCTCCACTTATCTACAAAATTACTTTTTATTTGAAAAAACATTGATTCGATTTATTTTCCAATTAAACCAGTTATACAAAATTGAAGCAAAAGTAAATCAAGTTTTATTTTTGGATTCTTTACAGTGGCAATACTAATAAATTAATTATTCATCAATTCATCTGTAAAGTTACCTGGAGCTAAAATTTAATCCATCTGTAATATTGTAAATGTGTTTAAATTTGTTCCAAGAACAAAAATTACAGAATTTTCCGTCTGTGTTTTTAAGTCACTGGATTAGATATTTTCTGTACACAACATAAGTTAATTCTTCACCAAACTTACCTTTTCTGATAAGTTCAACTTTAGCGTCGGCCCTGTCTTCGTCTTGAAGCAGTTTACCCAGCAGACGTCCGAGGCTTGTCGTCAGTTCGATCCACTTGTTGTTGTACGGGACGCAGGCTGCGCTCAGCACTGGGGCGTTCACAGCTCCGGTGATCTTGTATCTGTGGGCAAAAATGGTAATCAGCTGTCAATAGGCTTAAAATTCAGCCGGTATTAATCAAGCGTATAGAACTATGTTACTCTCTGTATCCATATTAGGATTAAAACATGATACCATAGACTAACCAACACAAGTAGACTTCTCATCCCATTGTAAATTTTGAAGCACGTTTTTCGTGTCTAGTTCATGTACGTGACACATGGGCGCTAGTGTTGACGAAACTTGGTTTATAATATTTTAGGGTAAATTTCTTGATTTGTGCTTTACTGTTTGGTTATATAACTAGGGGACAAGTTATTGTTTATGATTAGACCGTATTATTTGGCTAAACGAGGTTTTAAATGGCTGTAATAACGGGAAACAAATTGTAAACAAAACACGACCTCTACATAAACCGTACAGAACTAACAATAAAATTGTCTTCAGCTGTTCCATAAGGATGAGAAATCTACTAAGGGAGTATGTTTTATCTATGATGATACTTAGATGCTGGATCTTCAAAATAATAATAATCAAACAATTAAAACATTGCATATTTCATACTGCAATATCAAGCATGAGAAACAATTGCGTAATGACTGTTAGTAGGTCTATTGATTATTTACTATTTCAAATATAATGTTAATAAGAAAAGTCATTGTTAAAACTACTTTTGATTGGGTTTTGTCAGAGCAGTAGGATCTTGATATAGTCCATTAAAAAAATGTTAGGCGGATTAAGGGGAAGATTCTGTACTACCTTTTTTGCTTAATATGTTTCAGCTGATTGACGTTTTGGCAAACCTCAGCTGTTGAGCTGTCGGATCAAGTGGAGGGGATAGATTTCCTCTCGTAAAACCATCAAAATTTTGTGAATGGATTATAGCTTAACACTAATACCGAAACCCCGGTCTGACAGGCCCACGGGAATTTTCAAAAACGCATGTTGGCAACACGGTTTACTTGGGAAATTCCATTCCCCCCTTCCCCCCTTTTCCTCCCCTACCTATTGATATATTGTTTGTTCATTTTGCATGGGTTCCGTGACCTTGACAGGTTGTCTGTTCATAACATGCCCGTGTCAGAAGCCCATCGTTAGTGTATTTTAAAGCGGGGTCTCACAGGCCGAGGGTTTCGGTTTGTGTGTGTCTAAGCGGGGTCTATTATTTTTCAAATGGGGTCTCACAGACCGGGGGTTTTGGTTAACGTCAGCCTAGGTAGAGTTTCGGTATTAGTGTTAATTTATTGGAACAAAATATACTTTTATGAGGTATATTACACGTTCCATGTGTCGAATAAAGAGAGTTACAAGAAGAGTACAAAGAAGTAAGAGCAAGAGTTGCATAAAAAAATGAGTCTATTTTAGAACACATTACTTAGCAATTTAAATTGATCTAGATTGTGAATATGATTTAAGGTAAAATTGATAAGCGGTAAATATGTAGTTTTACTATCTTCCCCTATATCTGTTCAGACTTCTTG